GAAAAATTTACTATATGATTCCCTTTGCGCATAATTTCTTCGAGGTATAGGCGCCGTGCTTTAAAGTATCTTGTCAAATAAGATGTGAGGTTGACTTTATGACGATTCAGCATCACAAAAAAATCTCCTCCAAACAATTCGACTTGTCCTGCTATAAGTAACTTTCTCTTTACAGTTCCATCGAATATGTTCTACCAGCTGTTTACCGTACTGATGCATCTCCGTATGAAATTCCTGTTGATGTCATTATACCCCATGATAGGACAGTTCATATACAACCTGGAGTTACTTTGCGATTTGCTGATGACGCTGGATTTATCATCCATGGTAGGAATTGTAACTTTATCTGCTTAAAAACAGATTTTGCTATATGTCACATGAAATCTCTAAGGAATAAAGTGATTATTTAGGTGTCCTAATCGTGAATGGAACGGAATCGGCACCAGTAATGTTCGAACCTCACGGCGAGCAATGGAAAGGATTAGAGTTTATAAATGGTAGGAGAAAAGTAGCAGCACAAATTAAGATAACTTACTTTTTTTGCTTACCGTAATATCACTCACAAAAATAACGAAATCACCGATAGATTTATTCCATAAAGTTAGGAGGCCATGAGTCAAAACAAGGGAACAAAGGCTGTGGTCTCATAACTCATGATTTGCGAACCGCTAAGCCCAAATGTCACTGTCATAAAAATGAATAATCCATTTCTCCCAACAGCAAATTCGCTGGATAATTCACTTAAATATTTCTGAGCAAATCGAAATAACACCCCCGTCAAAATTGTTGCGTACAAAATAAATCAATATATCGATTTCTGAATATAAAACATCGTTAAGTTTACTGTATTTATCTAGGCGTTAATTCCATAGACAAAGTTTTTTCTACTGTATCGATAACATATCTAATCTTTGAAAGTTACCGATAGTTTGACATATCAATCTTAGTCGATGGAAACATTTAGTAAAAACTTCAAGGGATTGGTATGCAAAATTATCTTCAAACCAGAAGTTAGAGCTATGAAACTTCACTTCACAAGTTGTTTTTACAGTTCCAGTCATTCTCTGTAAGATCAGTGTCTTTATTTCAATCTGTGCTCAACTTAATTTCTTAAATAAATTCATGATTACTTTCTAAACAAATTTTTTCAAATAAATCACATTCAA